AAAAAACTTCTTTTAGTTTATAAAAAAGGTGACAAATGACGAACTTGGCTAAATTTTAGTAATTTCTTGTTACTTTTTATCAAAAAAAAAAATCAGAAAAATATATTTATGACAGTAATTATCAATTACACTCGTTGTTTGACTATTATTAAAATAAAAAAACCTTACTTAATTGCTTAAGGTTAACTAAAACAGTCTTTATTGAAGTTTGCAAGCAAATTGCATTTTTTGCAAAATTATGAAAAATGTCGCTTAATGAGGAATTATCTGTTAAATGAGTACATTTTTAAATATGAAAAAAAATCACTAAGTTGATAAATTCAATGCATAACAAAATAAAGCCAGATGTCGATTTTGAAATATTTAGTCTTAACATTCTAAGCTAAAGCCTTTGAAAAACTTTAGCAATTTCTTTCTTTCTATGCATAGAAAGAAAGAAATTTGATAATATGGTGTTAAGTTTTTTAACAACTTAACACCATTTGATAATATGGTGTTAAGTTGTTAAAAAATAAAGACTCACTAATTATAATAAAATAATTTATGACCACAACTGTGTTAAATTTTTTGAATTAACCTTGCTTTTGGTAATAGAATTATTTAATGGCACTTGAATCAATCAATCTTTTCTCACAAAAAATAAAACATTTGTTTAAATATACAAATAGCTAATTTTATTTGTTTGATGTGTTTTTATTTTCATAAAAAACTGTTTTATAATAAGTTGATCTATTGATAAGTTCTTTAAGTAGAAAAAGATCTTTGAACACCCAGTTGATATTAGATTTATGCTGCATTCTAAACCAGAAGATAAGTTTTTAGAAGATAGAAGATTGCTTTTGTTTAACAAGATTAGAAGATAATCTTTCAACAGACTCACAATAGTGACAATAACTTTTACAAATTCTTTATTTAAACTTTACACTAACTTGTTATTTATGAGATTTAAATTCTATTCTTTAATCAGAGAGAAGGTTGAGGAGAGGTACTGCAGATGTAGAACTAACTTCTGGTGATAATAATCGAATGGGCATCTAATATTTAAATTAAATGTTACATAAGATAAAAGACAATACATTTTTAAAATTAACTACACATACTAATATTTTATATCATAGCCAACAAACTAACCAGTTGCTCTGCTCATAAGTTAAAGTAAAAAGCTATATTTTTACACCCATTAGATGCAAGACTTATGTACCATTCTTTAACCTAGATGTTATTGCATAGGTATAATTAACAACGCTCAGAACACATAACACACTTTCTCACCTCAGTAATTTTGGCATCAGAAAGAAATTTTTGCTTAAAAAGAATAGGTTGCAACTTATTAAAAACACTAAAAACACGTACAAATCTATTTTTAATAGCTTTATCATCAATAACACTACAAAGTTTATAATGGTTTCTTAAGACTATTTTACAATGATTTTCATTGTCTTCATATCTTCAAGGGCCTTATTAAGAGACCTCTCATAAGTCCCCATGCTACTTTTGGATATTTTTTCTAGGTCTTCACACTCCATCTGCAATTTAATATATTCAATGTCTAAAACTTTGCGTTGTGCGCATGTAAAAGAAATAAAGGTCAAGACATTCTATATCTTCACCGTGACACGCTAAACACTCGTACATCTTTATGTCACACAATACACTCTTTTCTGAATCACCAATAATTTCACAAAAGTCTTACACTCCTTCAACAATAACTTATACAGTTTTAACACAACTCCTAACATAATTTGTAAAACAGGTGGCACTACATTATTTAAAGTTATTATGGGGAATATCACAGGAGCAATAATTGATTTATGAAACTTACCTAGAGTTCTTAAGTTTCCACCTTGCCTAATTTTACACAAGTTCTCATTGTAAGCACCTTCCAGAGATTGTATTGTCCTCCTTGTTACAATTAGCAGGTGTGTGAGGCATAGAAGCATGGTTTCTAAGAGATTTCAATTCAACTAGATCTGTTGAACTAGGAAAGCTAGCAGCTGAACCCTGGTGTCCCAGAACATAATCAATGAAATGAAAATCTCCACCTAAGAACAACCTGACTATTTTGGCTTTTAGCTTAAAATCTGGCGACTGAATTCTTTTAATGTCGTTGGCATAATGCCCAAGAATTAAGGCAATATTCTCACGACAGTCTGAACCCTGATACATACAAAACAAATGAACATCATATACAGACCCTGAAGATTTAAAATGGACAA